AAACAGATCGCCCATTTTCTGTCCAATTTCCTTGTGGTATGCTGGGTTGCTGCTGATCCATATCATGAGGAAGCTCATTGAGATCAGGAGGCAACTCATTGAGATCAATCATTTTTTCCTTTTTTTGGATGCTGCCACACACTCCCTACACATAAAAAGAAGAAGAAAGTGATGTCATCAGTTGTTAACCATGAAAGAGTGTTTCAAACAACCTAAAAACTTAGTAAATAGGGAGTTGCACGCCATTATGAAAATCTTAGTTGCAAAAGTTACATGACTATAGTAGAATCTTTATTATAACAGTTATGCATTTTTTTTGCACAGAGTAGTTATGTTAGTTGCACAGTTTGTAGTAAATAGCTGGCAAGAACATGTCTTCTTTTTACTACAAAGTTTTCTGACTTTTTCCCTTTGTTTGTTGCAATGATCCGCAGGTTTTCTGTTTGGCAAGGAGCTGATTCAGATTTTTCTACACATAATTTGGACATAATTGGATGCTACATTTGAGATGGAAAATCCAGGTGAAAGGAGAAAGAAGAATTGGATGACAGATTATAGTCGTTTCTGTTTTTACTTCTAGTATATTGGACATATTTTTTACACTATAGCTTTGCAATAGATGTGGGACCAGAATATGTGTGTGGGAGAAGATTATATGCGTGACTATTTTAATATGGTTTGTGTCTTCATTAGCTATGGACAAAAGTTCTTGTGTTTTTGCTGTCGTACTACATATTTTTGGTTTTGGCTAGAATAGATGTCCCCGTTGTTCAGGATGCATTTTTTAAGTTGGCCAGCATGCATGTTCAGTTGGACAGTCAATGTGTTCAGTTGGCTAGAATAGATGTCTCAGTTGGTCAGGATGCATTTTTTCAGTTTGGCCAACATGCATGTTCAGTTGGTCAGTCAATGTGTTCAGTTGCCTAGAATAGATGTCTTAGTTGCCCATGATACATTTTTTCAGTTTAGAACATGCATGTTTAGTTGGCCAGAAAACATCTTTTCATTGCACATATACTTTAGGTTTTCTAAAGCCTATTTAAAGTGTTCACTCAGAAAGCAGGTTATATGTTCATGATACATGTTCAGTTTGCCTAGCATGCATGTTGAGTTGCCAGAACACATGATTCAGTTGGCTGGGATCTATGTTCAGTTGCACATATATGCATTTTTAGTTGCACATATTCTTTGGATAGTCAATGTGTTCGTTTGCAAACAATAACTACAACTTGGTAGAATGCATTTTAGTTTTTGGCTACTTTTGCTTGTTGAGTTGGCTAGAAACATGTTTTAGTTGGCCAGAAAATCTGTCTTAGTTGGTTAGCTGAACACCTCCAGTTTAGAAAACATGTCCAGTTTCTACTAAACTTGATCTCAAACCATGTTTAGTGTGAAGATGCACTCATGAGGGCGTGGGGGTGGTGGTGTGATGTGGCAGATCCACTCCTTCTGCCTGTCCAGCTCCTCCATGGATTTGCTGATAGATCCATGAAGAAGGGGGTTTACAGATGCACTACAGGAGGAGGAAGAGGGGCAGAGGGGAGTTACTTGCCTGATCAGGAGGAGGAAGAAGGCCCTTGGATCCCTTCTGGCGTGGAGAAGGGCCTTGGACCCCCTTCTACCGTTGGTATGCCTCTTGAAGTAGTTTCTTTTACTCTTGGATTGCCATGGCGGCTGTACAGGAGGAGGAAGAAGGGTCTGGGGCGATTATGTTGGATCCCCTTTCTGGCGTGCAGAAGAAGAAGAAGACAGCGTGGGAGGGGCTGGGGCGTGGGGCGAGCGGGCGTGGGGGCGAGCAGGCGTGGGGGCTAGCTAGGGACAGCTGGCCACGGTGTGTGTGTGTGGGGGGGGGGGCGATTCTGTTGGGGTTTGGGCGCTCGATCCGCTCGGTAAGGTGGCCCCATGCCCCCTTCCTTTTCTGTACCGCGGAGGGGACAGAGGTTTACCTTTTTCGGCCGGCCGCTTGATCGCACTAGTGGGCAGCCGGCCGCCCACTAGACGCATCCAAAATAAAAACCGCTCACGTGGCTAGTCCCGTAAACATAAAATGAGGTGAATTCAAAATTTGCACTAAATGGATAATACATATGTCACAGACATGAATTTTAAGTGTAAAAAATGGAAAAGGTAATAGCACGGCAGGTCCTGGAACTTGTCTTGCATGTGATGTTTTGGTCCTCAAACTTGCAAAAGTGAATTATTTGGTCCTCCAACTTGTTCTCAAGGTGCACATTTGGTCCTGAGCCAATCATGAGCAGCCAAGTGGAGCCAGCTGGACCAAGCAGGTCAATGCCGCACTTTTGCATTTAGCTCCTTGTCGTTTATCGATTTCAACTCGCGGGGAAATCATCTTGATGCCAACCAAAACAAGCAACAATTACACCACTAACTAATCCATCGGTAATCACCTACAGGCTAATACTATAGTACCAGCTAGTGCTACTACGACTGTACAAGCATCTGATCTATCAACTATCATCCTCCATCTACGTACATCAGTGGACAGTGGTCGCCATTGACGGGAGCAGAGCAGCTTCCTCTGTTTGCTGCCGTCGCTACTCGAACCAGAGGCCGAGGCTGTCGAGGACGCGGACGCCGAAGAAGGTGAGGTAGATGATGATGAGGCCCACCCCGTGCACCCGGTCGAGCCGCATGCCCCTCGCCGGCACCCACGCCGGCCCGGTGCATAGGAACCCCACTGTCGTACACCGCTTCGTCCGCCGGGAGTGTGAACGGCGCCAGGTACTGCGCGCCCGCCGCCAGCGTTAGCGAAAGCCTTAGCCCCACCACCGTGTTGAACAGCGGCCCGGCGCAGCACGATGACACGGCCATCTGCGCGCCGTCGGGGCCCCTGTGCGTCGCCATCACCACGGTGGAGACTAGGTCGACCAACGAGTCTCCGCATGCCAGCACCGTCACGCTCAACATGCTCGCCTTCACGCCCACCATGTACGGTACCCGATGGCCACCGCAAGGGTGTACGCCCAGAGCCCCAGAGTACGCTCATCAGGAACCCCACCGCCAGCCACGGCACGCGGGCGCCCGTGGGGAGGGGAAGCGGCGTCCGTTGGGGCCGCGGCGAGGGCCGCGAGGAGGAGGCCAAGGACACCGCCGGTGAGGAGGATCGCGTGGTCGTCGCTGTTGTGGTGGCGGCGTGGCGCGAGGATGATTTCGCCGGGTTGTGCGAGGTCCATGCCGTGGCGAAGAGCACAGGCGCCAGCACGGCGAAGGCCACGGCGCAGGGCCGAGACCAGCGGTGCGCGGCGATGTCCGGGATGGTGAGGCGGTGCGGGAGGTACAACGGCATGCGGAGCTCGGACACGAGGTAATGCAGGCAGGCTACTGTCGTTGAGCCTGCGCGATCTTGGAGGAGTAGGACGGCAAGGGAGGTACGTCGTCATCGTCGTCCTCTAGGAGGAGCGACGCCGCGAGGTCGGGGTGCGCCACTGGAAGGCCAGACGAGGACGACGTAGGCCACGTAGATGGGCACGAAGGACGCGGTCACCCAGACACTGACTGTGCCGCTCACGAGCACGCGCACGAGGTTACAGAGCGCGAAGAAGAGGAAGCAGAGGTCGCGCACGAACCCGCGCATCTCCACGACGGCAGCGAGCGCGACGACGCCGGCGACGACGGTGGTCACAAAGAGTGCGCCGACCAGCGCGCCGTTGCCGAGCGAGAGGAGCGTGACGCCGGCGAGGGCGTGGGGCAGGCGTAGCGCGGCGAAGAGCTCCTCGAGCAACAAACAACCAAAGCAAGCCAGGGGAAAAACAACCAATGAAAGCATGCATAACTTTAGTTAGTTTGGTCTTCTAGCCTGAATGAATCTTCCAGCAGTTCAAAAACTCCACGGTCACGATTTTCTTCAGTTTTGCAGCGTGCAAATTAAAGCAGGCAGCGTTGCAGCAACAAGGGGTACGCCTTCGTCAACCTCACGACGGCCGACGCGGCGCGCGGGCTGCACTACGCCCTGCACGGACGTGGCTGGAACCGGTCACCCGGAGCGGCAAGATCATCAACATCGGCGCCACGTACAGTACATACAGGTAATGAACGTGCACGCACGCACAAGCCTCCTCCGTGTCGTCGATGCATGCATGCATTCATGCGGTTTGTTCTCTGGCACCGTGAGCCGTTGGTCTTTACAGGGCAGGCAGAGGCTGGTGAGGCACTTCAGCCGCTCCACCTTCGTGTGCCACACCGATGAGTACCTCCCGGCCGTATTCTTGCCGCCACACGACGGCGCCACCGTCCCGTCCCCGGCCGAGCCTAGGCACCTCGGTCGACGTGTCCCTCTGCGCGTCCCCGTTGTCGAGCAGCTGGCATGGGTGGGTCGAGGCGAGGCTACAGAGAGCTAGCTATCCACTCCAGCAGAGGTACCCCGCGGGTTAATTTCGATAAACAGAAAGGGGCTAAATGCAAAAATTGCGGTGTTGACCGGCTCCGCCCAGCTGGCTCCACTTGCCTGTTGTTGATTGGCTCAGGACCAAATATGCACCTTGAGAACAAGTTCCAGGACCAAATAATCCACTTTTACAAGTTTGAGGACCAAACCATCACATGAAGGACAAGTTCAAGGACCTGGGGTGCTATTACCTCAAAATGGAATTCCCTCTTTTTATAATATGCCAGTATCTGCTAGGGTACCCAAATAACCTGATCTATGTTCCTGGCTCAACAATCTTAGCTACTCGCATATCATGATTTCACATATCTCATTCTTACCTACTGGCTACCGCCAACTGCTGAAATTGCTGACATCGACCTCCCCTGCAAACACAAGCTGATGTTCATGTGGTACATGAGTTAAAACAAGTAGAGTGGCAAACAAGCCAGCCAAATATACAGAGCCAACATAGCTGGTGCTTTTTATAGCAAGCTATCTAGTCTAGAGGCTAGAGCTAGCTAGTGATCCACCTGCCGCACGCACTCTCTGCTAGAGCATCTGCATCGATCCATCTGCACTCTCTGCTAGAGCTAGCTAGTGATCCGTCTATCCATCATGTCGCTCCGACCCCGAGGAAATCTATGAAAGTCGGCGACCGCGACGTGCCGTCCAAGTGAACGCCAGCTTGGTCCGTCACGGCAAACACGGCGGCAGACGATCCATTTGCGTCGTCAGAGCCGAACCGTGCCATCTCGTGGTGGCCGCCGCCGATCAAGTCTCCTTGCGCCGGCAGCGGCTCCCAGTAAAGGCCGCCACCTCCTGCTCCTCCACGCACGGCCATGGCGTCCGGCCACGAGAGGCGCCCGTCGTGCACCGAGTTGGATCCGGCGCCGGGCCCTGCAGCCAGACGAAACAAACACACGAACGAAACGTTACTGGTTCATAGGACACGGTAAAAACTCCGATCGGCATCGTCAACCGACGAATAAAAGGGAACAGCTCAAGGACAGGAGAAGGGGTGGTGGTTACAGTGCAGGTGAGAGGGCCATTTATGAGGACGAGGCAGATGGATCTCCCCCCATACCGCTCGGCAGCAACTGCTCGGCCCGTGCGCGCCTGATCCCGAGCGTGCGTGTGCGGGATCACTGTGCTTGTCGCTGCGCCTGTGGCCTATGCGCGGGTGAGCGATCGACTGAGCGTGCGTGTGCGGGAGGATCACTGTGCCTGTGCTGTGCGTGGCAAAAGTCCAAAGTCTTCCCGGCCAGTACCTGGTCTTCGTTGGTTCGATCCATCGTCTCACGCCCACATGCTGCCTGTTTCGAGCGAGCCATTTATTTCGGTTGCCGGCCGGTGGCAGTGGAACCGACGAAAAGGCCGGCCGTGTACCACACGGTGGGGGCCTCCCTTGCTCTACGCGTGCGCTTCGCCGGAGTAGTACGCAGCAGATCCATTGATTTAGGAAGCAGTACGTGCTATGTGTCAGCATCCTCAAAACTTAATCCAGGTTTTTTCTTCTTGTAATTGGCACCTCTTTTGTACTCCCTCCGTCCGAACATCTTCTCTTATCCATTTTGATAAGAAGTATCTTCAAACGGAGGGAGTATGCAAAAAATCCATGTTAACTATATTTTCACTATTATAAATAAAAAGGGAATATAATGTGGATATCTCATTCCACCGAGGATATTGTGTACAAGGCCAGTGAGTGCAGAGGCCGGCGATCCCAGTCTCTCGGTGATTATCGAGGTTGTGGTTTGGCGCCGCCGCGGCGTAAGTGCCTCGAGATGTGGGAGGAGGCTCAGGGGGTGTTTGTTTACATGAACTTATTGATGCAGGGACTTAAAAAAATCCCTTTTAATTCAATCTAAACCAAACATGAGGGACTTATATGAACTTAAAGTGGGCATTTGAAACTTATAAAAGAAGATCCTACCAGCGTGTTTGGTTCGGGGGATTTTGAGATGGGGGATAGGAGTTGAGGCGTGAGGACATTAAAAGTTCATTGTTTGATTACAGGAAATGTGAGTTTAAGTGGGAAGGGGAATGAGAGTTGAGAAAGTCAATTCCCATCTATTTCTTCCTGGGGCACCCTGTTAATTTGTGAGCAGCATTTTATCCCATGCTAATTCCCATCATGTACCAAACAAGGGAATGAGAGTAAAAGTCTACTTTCCATGACTACTCTCTCCATAAACACTCTTGTGCAAACTTTCATTTCCCTGCCCAAGTGTTTACCAAACTGGCTGTAAGGGAGAGTCTTTTTGAGACTTTTAGTTGTAACGTGGTCTTTTAGTCCATGTTTAGCTTCAGGAACCAAACAGATAGAAACTTTTTACGGACTAGCGATTTTTTAGTTGAGACTAAAAAAGTCGTACGACTTATGAACCAAACAGGGCCTCAAAAGTTGGCGGTGGTTGGGCGCGGCCGCGGCAGCCATGAGCACTGGCACAGTGTCAGGAGGTATCGGTGATGGAGGATGCTCGGGAGGAGACATGGTCGATTAGACCTGCACGGCTTGCTGGAGTTAGCGGTCTGGCGAAAGATGTTTGTGGGATGATGGTTTACCCAATTCTTTTAGGACGCTAGGACGCTCATAACTGGCAACATTCGTCGGGAAGGATGGCATTGCGACGTCGACGTGCCCGGCACCGGAAGCCAGCCCGGAGGACGAGTCAAGCGTGCGCTGGACAGCCTGGTTGAGCTTGCGACGGCGGTAGGCGATGGATTGCTCGCGGTACTTGCGCGCCATGATGACATGCCAGTGGTTCTTGACGGCGTTGTCGGTCCGGCCGGGGAAGAGCCGCGCGATCATGGACCACTTGTTGCCGTAGAAGCGGTGCGCCGCCATCAGCCTCTCCTCCTCGTCGTCGGAGAACGGCCGCTTGCTGATCCGCGGGTCCAGCTGGTTGAACCATCGCAGCCGACAGCTCTTCCCTGTATCTCACGCACCAAAAGTTAGGAGTAGACGTCATAGTGTCATGTACATCAGGTGAGGAGCACGGCAGGCCATACATACCGGATCTCCCGTCGAGCTTCTCGGCGATGAGGTTCCAGTTCTGGGGGCCATAGAGCGCCACGAGTTCGCGTAGCTTGATGTCCTCGGCAGGACGCCAGTGGCCGCGCGCCGCGAGCCTGGACTGCCCGCTACTGCTGCTCTCCTGCGGGTCGGCGGCATTGCCGCCTTCCCCGCCACCGCCGCGGTATCCCGTGTCTATAGTGGCCGTGCCGGTGGTGAGCACGGCACCCCCGCCCTTGGACGAGGAGGACGACGATGCCTGGTCGTCGTTTGCGGCCATCATGCGCACCAGCCACGGAGGACAGGCCGACGAGCTAGGCATCCCAACGCAGTCAGCGTCGACCTAATTGAACTACCTGTGTAGCTACGGGCCTCCAATCGAACGAGCGGGCTAGTCAGTGGGTAGGCGGTTGGAAAAAAAAGGAAGAGGAGTAGGAGTAGAAGAGGACGCAGCAGGAAGAGGGAAAAGAGAGGGTAAATGGCAGGGAGAAGATGGGGCAGCTTGCTTTTCTTAACCCAAACCTACACGGTGCTAGAGTCTCACAGTGTCACTCACTCGCTCACTCTAAATGCAGGAGTCGCAGTGCGAGCTTTGCTTTTTTACTGTTGGATGCGGAGCTCCTAGATGGTGAGATGAGCTAGGGATCGTCTACGCGCGGCGGGCTGTCGCACCTGCCCGGACATGAGACGGAGGAGCCGGCGGTGGCTATGGAGGTGGGGCGCGCGCTCGTCCACTCGCTCGGAGTAAAGTCTTTCGGCTTAGGGCTGCCCGGGTTTTTCTTTTTTTTGAGAAATCTCGCTGTCTTTATTGATTCATGACAATGTTCATAGGTACACGCTTTGGGTCATGAGGAGTACCCAACCATACATGTCTACCTATATCTAGGTTACAAGCAAATTTAGCGAGATTATGAGCCTCGAAATTAAAAATCCTACGCTCAAAAACAAAAACGCAAGACGTAAAACTATCTTTACGGTTCGTTATTTCATGTATAACAGCCGCATTGGGGCCAGCTGTCCCTTCATTGATATCCTGCACCACACCTTGGCAATCCGATGCCACCATGATATTCTGCTCGTGTAGATCTTCCGCCAGCGCTAGAGCCTCCCGACACGCGTATGTCTCCAGGATCATCGGATCGCGTATGCCCCCATGGACCACCGCTGACGCGCCAAGATAGTTGCCATTTGAATCACGGCAGATTGCGGCTGCAACTCCCACTCGTCTGTTTCGTGATAATGCACCATCCACGTTTATCTTTTGTGAGCCTGGCGGAGGTGGAATCCAACGACGTTGCTGCTCCCTTGCCGCTTGACCTTGTAACCTAATGTTAAGAAGGTATATTGACTGAAATGTTAAGCATAATGGGCCTAGCCCATGCATAATTTCTAAAATCTCAAAGAGGCCCATGTATAGATGGCAAGTGGTGATGCTAAAGTTTACTCCCATATCGATGCCGGTAGTGGAGAAAGTGTTTTACCTCTTTGGAGCATCTACATCCAGACATGGCAAATCCGATCAACTATACGTCCGCGGACGCGCAAGGGCACGCCCGCAGACGCAGCCGGACCGCCCCTCATATGTTATGCCCGGCAGCCACATACCTCAAATCCGGACTCTCGAATGCATGCAAATTCATGCACGTCCATCATACACGTCAATATCGCACGTAAATAACAAATGTTGGTACCTGAAATACATACTTTTTACATAAAATTTATTTGCACAACTCAAACATTAACTCTTTGGTTTTCATTATGGGTCCACATATGCTCCACAAGATCAATGAGTAGTTGCGCGTGCACCTAATGATCTCGAAGATTATGATGCATCTGCAGAAATTTCATATGCTGATTTGCATCTTGATCTTCCGGGATTTGAACTTGTTCTCCAGGCTTCAAAATTATTGGTTTGGGCTACACCATCATCCTCATCCTCGACAATCATATTGTGCAAAATAACACAACATGTCATCAGCTGCCACGAAGTTTTTGATTCCCATCATTGCAACTCCACAAACAGTCCCCAACGAGCTTGAAGCACTCAGAATGCCCACTCTGCATCCTTCCTAGCTGCTTCATGCATTGTTGCAAAGTGGCTCTGTTTGTTCACTTGTGGTTCGGATATGGTCTTCACAAATGCCGCCCACTAAGGATAGATGTCATCGGTAATATAGTATCCGATGTTGTAGTCGCGATCGTTGACAATGTAGTTGCACGATGGCGAGTCCACATTACAAAGCCTCCTGAACACATGATATCGTTGAAGCACGTTGATGTCGTTGTGAGAACCCGACATTCCAAAGAAAACATGCCAAATCCATAAGTCATGTGATGCCACTGCTTCCACTATGATGATGGCCTCTATGGTGTGAGCTTGATACATTCCCCGCAAACCTTTGAGGCAGTTCTTCCATTGCCTATGCATGCAATCAATTGATCCGAGCATTCTTGTTAACCCTCTAGCCTCTTCAACAGCCAATAACTTTCCCGTGTCCTACATATTGGTTCTCTAAGATACTCTGCTCCAAACACCTACACCACGATGCGGGAAAACCTCACAGTAGTCTTCAGGCATGTCCTCTCCCCCATCCGTACCATCTCACCAACGACATCTACGGCATAACAAAGTGAAAGTATCCTCAGAGCAGTGGTGCATTTTTGCTTGGCAGAGAAAGAAAGCTGGTCACAACAATCCCTTGTGAGTTTTAAGTAGTCATCGTGCGCGTCCACTCCCTCTGTAATGCGCAAAAACAATGACCAAACCATGGATCATCTGGGAAGGTTGGGTCCGGAGCAAAGTAGTCCTTGTGTGAGACCCTATCCCGATTGATCACTCTTATCCCTTTGATTAAGCCCTTGAAGTTGAGAATACACTCGACCTGTCGGTCCATTTCCTCTTGCATGCTCTGAGCATGATCATGTCCACTTCTTCGTCCTTATCCGACGAATCGAAGAACTCATCTTCAGTCATTTTATCAAGCTCCGCCAGTCCATACTCCTCTTCCAACAAAGCATCGGAATTCAACATTTTCCCCATGAATAAATCATAAAAAACCGGGTGAGACAATGGGTCGAACACTTAAAGCGCAAGGGGCAACCCGATAGTTGCTGGACGTACCGCCATGGCATCCGGGCTGGCAGCCATATTCGCGACGGCAAGCACCATAGAGACGACTAATAACCCACAAGTATATGGGATCGCAACAGTTTTTGAGGGTAGAGTATTCAACCCAAATTTATAGATTCGACACAAGGGGAGCCAAAGAATTTTGCAAGTATTAGCAGCTGAGTTGTCAATTCAACCACACCTGGAGATTAATTATCTGCAGCTAAGTGATCAGTAGCAAAGTAGTATGATAGTTTTGATAATAGTAGCAACAACAATAGTAACGGTAACAATGATAGTAGTGATTTTGTATCAGTAACGATAGCTGTAGCAGCAGTAGTAACTTAGCAAGAACAATATAAGGTAAATTCGTAGGCATTGGATCGGTGATTCGTTGGATGATATTCATCATGAGACAGTCACAACCTAGGGAGATATGGCACTAGCTCCAGTACGTAAATATAATATAGGCATGTATTCCGTAAATAGTCATACGTGCTTATGGAAAGAACTTGCATGACATCTTTTATCTTACCCTCCCGTGGCAGTGGGGTCCTATTGGAAACTAAGGGATATTAAGGCCTCATTTTAATAGAGAACCGGAACAAAGCATTAACACACGATGAATACATGAACTCCTCAAACTACGGTCATTACCGGGAGTGGTCCCGACTATTGTCATTCCGGGGTTGCCGGATCATAACATGTAGTAGGTGACTATAACTTGCAAGATCGGATCTAGAACATGGATATAATGGTGATAACATAAACGGTTCAAATCTGAAATCATGGCACCCGGGCCCAAAGTGACAAGCATTAAGCATGGAAAAGTCATAGCAACATCAATCTCAGAACATAATGGATAGTAGGTATCAGTCCCTAACAAAACTAAATCGATTACATGATGAATCTCATCCAACTCCTCAGCGACCAGTGAGCCTACGAAGGAATTACTCACTCCCGATGGGGAGCATCATGGAATTGGCGATGGAGAAGGGTTGGTGATGACGAAGATCGAAGATCCCCCTCTCCGGAGCCCCAGACGGACTCCAGATCTGGCCTCCCGATGAAAAATAGGAGATGGTGGTGGCTTCGTCTTGTGAAACGCGATAATTCTTTCTCCCTGATTTTTTTCTAGAAAAATAGGATTTTATAGCATTGGTTTCAGGGTCTGCGGGGCCACCAGGTGGGGACAACCCACCTGGGCGCGCCTGGAGGGGGTGGCACGCCTTGGTGGGTTGTGCGCATCTAGGTGCCCCCCTCCGGTGGTTCTTGGCTCCAGAAATTCTCTTTTATTGTATAAAAAATCCTTGCAAAGTTTCGTTCCATTTTGAGAACTTTTATTTCTGCACAAAAACAACACCATGGTAGTTGAGAACAACGTCAGTCCGGGTTAGTTTCATTCAAATCATGCAAATTAGACTCCAAAACAAGAGGAAAAGCATTAGCAAAAGTAGATACGATGGATACTTATCAACTCCCCCAAGCTTAAACATTTGCTTGTCCTCAAGCAGTTCAGTTGATAAACTCAAAGTGAAAAAGAAAAACTTTCACGAACTCTTTTGCTCTTGTTTCCATAAATAAGCTTAAACAACACCTAGGTTTTTAGCAAAGATTATAACTAACCATGTCAACAATAACTCTTAAAAATTATATTAACTCATATCAATGACATAACCAACTAGAGAGCAATAATAAGACATCTGAAATAGCAACAGGTTGTCAAAACAACCATGATATAATATGACAATAGTGGTATCTCGCTAGCCCTTTCTGAGACCGCAAAACGTAAATGCAGAGCACCCGCAAAGTTCAAGCAAAGACTAAACATTGTAATTCATGGTAGAAAAGATCCAGTCATGATGCACCCAACATTAGCTATACATAATGCATCAACATGATAGCAGTGCTTTCAGGTTCTGGCGCTTATTTGAGAAGGTGATGACACAACTTAAAAGTAAATAGATAGTCCCTTCGCAGAGGGAAGCAGTGATTCGCAGAGGTACGAGAGCTCAAGTTTTTAAAACAGAGGAAAATGAAATTTTGAGACATGCACCCTTCTTGTTTACTTCGCGACCATCAGTTATTGATATCTTCCATGCTAAACAAACTAGTAGCAGTTCCCAAGCAGTAAAGTAAAGGTTTTTGCTCCATATGAGTTTTTGTTTGATTATTGATGAATTCTTTTTGCAATTTGGGACTGGGAATCCCTA